GTATATTTATTTTATTTTATTCTACTGTATATAGTATTTTATTTTATTCTATTCTGTACAGTTGTGTACTGTATTTATTCTTATTGTATTCTAATTTTTGCCTCATAACTTTTGCACTGTCCACTCCTGCTGTGACAAAACAAATTTCCCACGTGTGGGACTAATAAACGTTATTTTATCTTATCTTACCCAATTTTGAGATGGAGTATGTCATGTTGAAATATTCCTCAAAATAGTCAAAAATGAGCTTGGTTACATTTACTGCATACAAAGCTGTGCTGATCTGACTTGGCTGGGCCCAGATTTTCAACTGCAAAAGAATGAAAAATACAAAAAAGTGTGTGACAGTATAAATCCAACAGTGTGAATTAATGAATCTTATCAATACTCTGCAATAGTGGCATATAAATGTAAACTCACGGGAATTCCTCTGGCTGAAGTTCTCTCTACATAGGCAAACTGGTGCACAGCAAAACATACCAAATAGGTGCTCATTGGAACAGACTTCTGAAAGGTGGTTTTGATTTTATTGCCTAGTAGTTGCTGAGGGGAGCCCTGGAGATAGACAGCAAAAATTTATTTGGATTTTCTGCCCTATTATCACAAGAAGAGCACCATCTCAACTGTTGTGCTTTGAGATGAGATCGTCCTGTTGCAGGAACTGATAAACATGACCTTGACTGTGTAACTGTCATCTGTGACAGGTGTACATGCAAGGTTTACACTACACTCAGTTAGATGGTAAAAAATGTCACTCACCACCACACCAACTGAATTTTTTTATCACATGCTAAGATAGACGATGTTATGCTAATGGGTGCAAAGGATGATAATGCATGAAGACACAGCTAGCTTAAGTGAGAGGATTTTCTTGCTTCCTCCCTATTAAACAACTGGCATGTAAAGTGCCTAACACCAAAACAGTTGTTGACCTTGAAAATACTAAAATGCATAGAAATCTACTGGAAAATTGGTAAATATCGTTAAAACATTATAAGGTTTAAAAATGTATGAAATTACAGTAAATCATTGCGACTTTTTAAAAAAATCAGTTTTCCTCTGTTCATGCTTGACTACTAATGAACTCTACAGTTAGGGCCAGAGCTGTCTCTATTTCACAAAGCAGCTGAGGTCTTTCAACATCTGTTGGACAATGCTTAGGATTTTCTATGAGTCATTTGTGGCGAGTGTGGATGCTGTTGCATGCTGGGACAACATCCATCAGGCTGATATTGTCCAAGATAAATATAACGCTGGACAACAACCCCCAACATTTCCATGATGTGCCAGCCAATCACAGGAGCGCGTTCAGTGAAACTGAGATTACCTAAATTCACCACTGACTGTTTTGCATTTTCAGGCATGTATACTTTTTCTACGACTTTTACTCACTGTACTTTTACACAAATACCAATTGTTTCCAATTTAAATACAGCACATAAAGTCTATTGTGATGGTAAACACACATGCTGACTTACCTCTACTGGCATGTTGGACAGCACGTTGTAATTAACATCATGAGTTATTGAGATGGTGTAGGTGGCTTTCTTGTTAGGTTCATCAAAACAGGGAAAAGACTTGCGGGCATCCGTTGGCTCGTGATCCGTAGCTGCAATCTTTCTGGTGTTCAAATCGAGGACAGATTATTGGAAAATTTAACTTTATTATTGGAGATTGTTTGAAACCAAATGTTCTACAATCTTTTTCAGCAAATTTTACTTTGAAAACTAATAATATGTGACAATTTAAACTAGAGAGTTAAGTTTAGAACAGTCATATTTGATTAATAACATCTTTCAGTTATTTTGTTCAGTTAGTTCTATACAAGCTAATGAAAACAAAAGTACCAGATGCCAATCCCAGCAGTACCAGGAGACTACAGGGGTTTTCCATTTAAAGTAGGACGCATAACCAAAACGTACATCTGTTTAAATCCCACATAATGTAGTGACTCTGAAGAAGTAAAGACCAAATAGCTGGTGAATTATAAAAAGTCTTCTATTGATAGTTTTTACCTTTTTTTTAAATATTTAAGCCACGTTACGGTCTACAATCTACCTCAATAAAATATGTCATAGAACAAAATGACCTGGACCTCTTTAGTGTAGAAATTCCATCAAAGAAGGAGCTCAGCTACATAAGAAATACAAGTAAAGTCATCAGTAAATATGTATGTAAAGTGAAATATGATAGGATGACTAGACTAAGTCTAAAATGATGTTTTGGTATACAGTGGTAAAGATATTCTGTATCTGTTCTTGTGATAGCAAATCTGAAACAGATGTCAGAGCAAGTTTTCAGCTCCACGTCCAATGAGTGATGCAGAGGGCAGGATCCATTAATTATCCACATCCACTGACCACAGCCGCAGTCATGTGGACGATATCTGTGTTGCTTAAGGATCCAGGAAAGAAACAGTTAGTAGAAGACTTCCTGTTCCTCCTGAGCCACAACCAACGACTCTGGTTTTTATCCAAGATAAAACCAGATAACACCAATTTTTACAACCATCATAAACCTGCTCTTGGTTGCTTCTCAGAAGACAAGTTTTACACAAAATATTACTCAATAATTAGTTTTCATTCTTAGCGGAACTTGTTTTATTCCAACATTTCAACATTTGCAACTTATGAACTATTGCATAGAATGTCCACAGTTATTTAACACCTATTAATACCTCCAGAAAAGACTGTAAGGCGACTCTGAATTTTCTTGAAAGATGCAACTATTTCATATGTCTTATGCCTTCTTGCTCTGTTCTTTTCTAATTCTTGATTAATGAAGATGTTTGTGTATGTTTGTGACAGAACTGAATCACATGACTTACTTGGTGATTCCATTCTCCATGTAGGTAACTCTGTAGAATCCCACCAAAGAGCCATTGAGCCAACCCTGGAAGTCTAGACTGAGGGTGTATACCTCTCCTGTGTCCAGGACAGGCAGCTCCTCTGTGGCCTCCACCACCACATACTGCTGAGCTTTGTATTCAAAGCAGCTTTTCACTGCCACTTCCCTCTGTCCTCCTTGGCTACTCAGCACCTTCAGCCTTGGCAAGGTACTGACAAATGTCTCCCTGATGTGGAGCCAGAGATGACGGGTGGGCTTGGTTACTTCAAGCTGGATATCAACAGTGCCTGTGTAGGTGTCATCCTCTAAGTTCGGCTCCAGGTGCAGATTGTAGTGGACGGGATTCACATAGTCAGGTAAGCGGAAATTCCTCCAGTCCCCACTGGAGTCAGTGGAAGGCAGGCAGGGCCCTCTGCCAGGTGAAGGGGGCTGGGGAGGCCCCGCTGTGGGGGCTGGTGTGGTGGTGGCAGCAGGAGTGGTGTTGTTTGATCGAGAGAGACCCACCCCGAGGCCCACTGCCAAACAGCACAACACCACTGTTATGCAGATGATGACTGCATGCTTGCGTCGAATAAAGTAACGCTTCTCTGGCTTCTCCATGTTCAAGCTGTCAACCATGGTAACTCCCAAAATGAAAAGTCCACCTGACAAAAAACCCCCAAAAAACAAAACACAGCTTTCTAAAGGTAAAGTGTTTAGCTGACCAGAGGTCAGAGCTGCAGGCTTTGGCTGCTGAATTAGCTGTGTGAACTGAATCAAGGCTTGCCTCTGTGGTGCTGAGGGGTGGAGAGAAAAATGAGAAGTGAAGAGTATCAATCTTTCAGACGGCCAGAAATCGGAAGGATTTAATCTGTCCTTTGAGCTTTCAGCACACCTCCTGTTAAACATCTACAATCTTCCTGTAAATCAGCAGCTAAAGTTCTTTTTTTATCAACTATGCTAAGCTGCAAAACTGAACGTGTTGTTCTCACGTGAAACTAAACAATACACATGACGCCTACATCTAACATGTGAACCACTGTGCATGTCAAAGTGTTGTCTGGTTTGAATTTGAAGCATCAGAGTCAAATTTCAAAGCGGCTTCAGCGCAGCACAATCTGTCTTCTTACAGTGCACACACTGCAGAAACACTCTATGATCTGGACATGAGTCAGCATGTGGTCTTTGGTCAAAACAGTGATTGCAACAGAGACGTATGTGAAGCCAAAACAATGGTTTTATTGAACTGAGCCACGGTAGAATTTCCACAAATATTCTTCCCCTGCTCAGTTCTGTGAACTCTGGAAAAGACATTACTGAAATATCAATTTCTATCATTTCTGTCCACAGAGATGATGTTTTGACTGGAAAACTAATCACGGTGTCGAGTTTTCATTGAAATCAACTACAGCTAAGTCTAGGATATGTAAGGGTGTTCATGCACAAATTCCTAATATTAGGAACACACCCAGAGAAATACCCAGTACAAAGTGTGCACTGGAACTACAGTAAGTGTTACGTTTGTTTGTTATAGTTTGTAGTATATAGTACTATAGTTTATAGTGGTAGTAGATAGACATTTTGAAGTGGGCAGTTGTCCATTCACACACACACACACACAAATCTGGTAGGCTGAATAGCCTCAACCAATGTGTCTTTTGGAAAGTAAAAACTTACAAATACTTCCTGTATTTGCTGTACTTAAGTAGAAATTTCAGGTATCTGTGCTTTACTTGAGTATTTATTTTTCTAGCAACTTTACTTTTACTCCCTCCATCTTTACACAAATATCCGTACTTTCTGCTTCTTACATGTTGAAAGCAGGCTAGTTATTTTAGGTTCAACAGTATCATCCATAGTGTTTATACTCAGGGGTTGAAGTGGGTCGGAAGGAGAGCAGGTGTCCGTCTTCTATAGCTACCTCTATAGAAGAGGAGCGAGTATGAACTGAGTTTTATATTTAGTGTTTCTATCACTTTAAGAGCGCTAACTTCACTCAGAGATCAGGAGAAAGATAAAGACAGGACCGGAGAGGAAGAAGAGCGGTTAGATTTAAAGTGATGTTTGATAAACCGCTAATTTAAAGCTTACATGCGATGTCATTATTGGATTTCATATTGTGAAACATCCTGCAAAACTTTGTCTTATTCAAATGTCGCATGAAAATGTAGTTTTATACTGGGCAGTAAAAAAAGTTGCTTCATTACTGCAACTTTTACTGGACGAGTTTTTAACCTGTGTTTCTACTTAAGTAAAGAAAGTCTCTACTTTCTCTGGTCTTTTGATTATGTATTTCATGACCTTCCAAAACCTCCCATAGGTGACTTCAGTGAGCACTTGTGATCTTTGTGAAAGCATGTACTTATTATATTTATGTAAGTGTTTTATAGAAGGTGTTGACACCAGGACGTTATGTAGTAAGTTTTGTTTCTACTGTAGTTAAAGTGTAAAAGAACGTTTAACCAACAGCTCATGTGACAGTGAGCATTTTGTGGATTTATTGGCCCTGTTATATCATACAGATAAGACAGTCGTAAATGTAATGGCTCCCTTATCCTTGAACTGTGCATAGGATCTGCATAAGAGACAACAATCACTGTCACTCAAAATTTTAATCACCGTCTAAAGTCATGATTCTTTCATGACGTTTATGAGACGCCATGAACCTTTTGTGTGTCTTATTTTTCACAGACATAAATCTGTTGGGCTCAGGTACAGCATGTTTTACCATGACCCTCACCTGGATTATCACAATGAGCTTATAGTGCAGACAGTGAAGTAAAAGGTGTGATATGGAGCTGCATGAGTGAAGAAGGCTGAGAGAGATTAGATTAAAATGCTTCAGTGGGTGGCTGTTGATGCACTGTACAGGCACAGGCTGACGCCATGATTGCCAGTCATCAATACAATAATAAGCATACTGCCAAAATGACAACATGGTTTCTGATGATGAGAACAGCTAAACTGATGGCTACAAGTCTGTCGCCTGACTCGTGTTCAAAGGAAACCTGTGCTGCATTTTACAGCAAAACATAGAGATACTTTGGTAAAAAACACAAAAGCCTGTCTCAAGGTTTTTGACGCTAGAAGTCAACATAGCGTTCTCTCTGTCTTCTTCCACATGTTCAGGTTCTAATGCATTTGTTGCCGACACCAGCACAAACAGGCCTGACTGTGAAGAGCAGTCAGGGCCTCCTGGCAGCCCTATGAGACCGGAGATTGGCTGTATGCAGTCTTCTCCAAGTTCTCTGGGTAGAGACCCGTTGGCCATATTGTCCTGCAAACTTTGACTGCAACTCTGTAGAAGACTGCCTATGGTTCCTAAGTGCTGACAGGGTAAAGAAAACATGGTGGGAGCCCACTTTCCAGCCCTTCTCTGGCATGCCCCATCATGCTGCATCTTGGTTTTGAAGCATGCCAGGTTGAATTCGCCCCATGACATGGGCCCTAGCGTTTTCAGTCAAAGATGTCTTGCTTGGAGAAGACAAAACTGACCACTGCAGCAGGGTCCATGCTCACATATGCTGCTAATCTGGTACAAATCAGGCACCTGGTTGTCAGCGCCTGGGGTACCAAAAGCTCAAAACAAGAGTCAATGGCAGAATAAGGTGTTTGACACTGCAGGGAAGCTTTGTGAAGTTTTTGATGGGTGCATCCCACAAACCTAACTCTGCTGCTCAACTCACAAATGCATTTTCCTTATAAATGTGGCACCATTTAAAGGGAATAAACAGGCTTTTCACCTGTATAAGATTTATTGCCAAGAACACAAACAGGCACATTTTGAAATTTGAACTGAATAAAACTTTTTTTTCACAAACATGCAGACTGCATCACAGAAACAACACGCACATTTTTGTCTTATGTTTTTATTTAGCGAGTAATTCACATTAACTGCTGCAACACTAGAGCTTTAACAAACAGTAACCTTTATTTCCTTTATTTTCCCACCGCCATGACCTCCGCTCTGTAACAAACACTGAGAAACTTCAGCAACAGTAAATCAAATTACAATGGTCAGGTAGCCACAGACTAGATCTATATCATGTTCCTGTCTCTTTGCATCTGCTGATTTCATTTAGTATTTTCTAACGTGCTCCAAAAAAGTCACGAGGCTTTGAGGTTTCTTGGCCTGGTTACTGGAAAATGGTGTGATACTTGATAGTATCTGATTATCCTTCACTGAGGGGACGTTGGTGATAGCTGAGATCTGGTATGGTTTCCTGTACTTTGATGGGGGTTTGGAGGAAATCTTTCTGGACTTCTTTGGAAGATGGGGTAGTTTTGTGATTCCCATGACTTTCAGTTTAATCAGGGCTTCAGAAATTCCTGCCATGTTCCGGGCTTGGCAGCGATATTCACCAGCATCCTTGTATGATAACCCGTTCAGGCTGATAATCGACCAGCGGACCCCCACCCGCGGAGATTCCTGCATAACTGGAACAGAGAGAGTTGTACAATCTTAGCTCTCGGCACCCTACATTTAGCTTTTTGCTTTTAACTTAAAAGAGTACCTTACAAAGGAAGTCTTACAGGCCTGGGTACTCCTGAGTCCCTAACAAACCAGAGACCCAAAGAAACTTTGGAGTTACACATTAAAACAAGATGTAGTTAAAAACTTTAGGAATGAGCTTATAAAATCAAAAGTTTCACTTGATTAAAATTTGGCCCATCTCATGTTCAAAATTATTTTCTCATGCACCTCTGGGCTGTTTTCATTGTGCATTCCATGTGTAGCTCTCTCAATGGAAGTCCTGTTCTGGGTGCTTGCACTTGTGCTTCTGTGATGGATGAGTGGTGAGTAAGAAAATATTATGTCTGTGTGGCCAAAGTCTCCTGTACTTCTGATGCAGTCAATCCGGCTCACAATAGCCACATAGCTCAGCTCATTTCTAGTGAATATTCTCTTGCAAGTGCCTCCGAGGGTTACAACAGAGCCCAATCCTGTGAATCTGATCCAACTTTAGCTTTAGAAAATAGGAATTTTTCATTGTAGCTTGCTTGTTATGCTGTCGTATAGTATTTTATTGTTTATTTTATAGTTTATAACCTAGAAGTATAAGTTAAGGAAAAGACATTTTGTAATATTTACTTTATGTCTGTTTTTAGTTTTATGGGGGAAAAGATGTCAACCATTGGACTAACAACGAAGTAAAAAGCCCTGAACTTACTTCTGCCTCCAACATTCGTTGAAGTCGTTAGCTGTCAAAGAGTTATGGTAGTCATGTGACTGAACTTATGATAAATCCTGCTGAAGTAAAATAGCATAAACTGCATGAAACATGAAAACTATATTCATATGTGATGGAGTTACTGATAAATCGTGTGAAAGTACAACCTAGAAAAGGAGAAAATGAAATGATGTGATTTTAATGAAGTAACCTCCTCCTTAGTTAAAGTAGGTGAAAACTCAGAGAGAGAGAGGCTGGACATTGGTTGACTGCATATCAACAATGACTGGAGAGAGAAAGAGAGGGAGGAGGGAGAAGGGGAGAAACTATATAACAACCCCATGCAGACAGAGTAAGTTGTCCTTCCTCTAGTTCTTGTGATGTTCAAGAAACACGGCCTGAAGATCTGGCCCTGGGAGTCCACAGATTAAATTAAACAGTACTTTTCACACTAAGGAGATACTAGTGTCAGGCTGATCCATGCTCCAGTCCAATTCTCCTACCCACATTTCCTTGACCTCAGTGATGTTTTTATTGAAGTCAAGAAAAAGAGGTTAGAAATAGGAGTCAGGAGACAGGGGAGACTTTGAGGCACACCCTCGGGCCAGTCGGAAAGGTGATTGGGGCAGAGAGGAAACATCTGGAAACACAGCTGAAACTCATCAGGAAAGCAAGACGAGAGAAGCAAAACTAAACACAGCGCACCTGAGACCAAAGACTGATAATGTGTGTTTGGACTTTTTCATCTGCTTTTTCAAAGGATGTAGACTGATGCACTAAGCTAACAAACAAAGAAAAAAACAACACTTACATGTCCAGACATAATCAGTGTTGGTCAAGTTACTTGAAAAAACTAATCAGTAACTAATTACTGATTACTTCCCCCAAAAAAGTAATCCTGTTACTTTACTGATTACTTATTTTCAAAAGTAATTAATTACTTAGTTACTTTTTAAAAACA